TGGGTTGACACTGTCTAAACTTGTTTCACTTAGGATCCTTGCAGCCAGAAGACGGAAAAATACTTTAATCTCATCAGCCTCAATGAATTTCAACCCAAGTCCATCCAAATTATGTTATACAACTGTTACCTACACATGCATTACCTACAGCCCCACTGAGCCAGTGGTCACATTCTATATTCCACTGGCACTCATAAATGTTTAAGAACATTTAAACAATGTTCTGTGAATAAGGGCAAAGGAAAGAGTAATAGATAGCCACTTCCATTCTTTATGCCATTTATGGCTATTCACCTTTGATGCTCAAGTGGAAACATGCTGCTGAAGAAATAGATTCTCTATTGAAATTTCAAATTTTAACTGCTTCAAAGAATTTTGAAGAGTAGTGGCATTGTAACTTTCTCTGCTGGGTCTCCGCCAAATCAAATACAAAAATAAAATCACAAGATGGGATGAAGAAGGCCCTTCCCTCCCATCACAGCACTAAACTGGTGTCCTGATCTCAACCACACTTCCTGACAAACTGTTCCAGCAGTTAAGTTACCCTCTGATTAAAGAAACACGACCTGATATCAGTTCTTAATTTGCCCTTTACAACTCTAAACTCATGTCCTCATGTTCTGGTGCATCCTAAACTATTGTTCTGAGTTTACTTTTGCAATGCCATTTACAATTTTACACATCTCTGTGAGGTCCCCACTGAGTCATTTTTTCTCAAGAATGAAGAACTCTAGATTTCTAATCATTGTTTAAAGCTAATTTGTCTGAACTGGGCATTATCCTCATTGCTCTCCTCTTTCTCTAGGGCCTTGGCAGCTCCTTTATGTTGTGGTGACCAGAACTGAATACAGTAGGTGAGGCCCGACTACAGCATGATACAGCCAGAGAAGACATCTGGGGATCTAAACAGACGGTTACTATACTGATTATTTAATGAGTCTGCACTGTACTGATAGTTAATGATTTTGTCAACAAGCAAAATAATCAAATGTTTTGTAATTAGTTTAAATCATAAATAATCAATACCTAATATTTACCCCAAACCTTTCAGTGCTTACATTTAATTAAATTAAATTCCAAGTATTATAACTGGATTCTAACAGTACAGTCTAGTACAACACGTCCATGCCGGTGTTTATACTCCGTACAAGCATTTCTGCATACCATGTCATGCATTTATTTATGTATTTTTACAAATGTCTGACTCGCTATTCCAGATCACTTGTCACTGAATTCCTTTCCTAGGAGTTGTCAGGAGTTTACTGTAAATGTCAAGTGTATTGTATTCATCTTTTATCTTTTCATCTTTCTAGACTCAACAACTGTAAATCTAATCAGTTTTTCTTAAATTGAGTTTTAACATTATTATCAACCGTCAATCAGTTTTGTTTTTCCAAAACAAAAATCATTCATGACCCTTATGCTCTTTAAAAGTAATTTGTACTTGTTCACTGCGGTTTTTCAATTTAAACACTGATATTATGGTACCTTTGAGTTAAATGTTAATTAGAAGTGATTTGTGATACTGTAACCCAGGTCCTGCAGATACATTTCTCCAGATTTGCAATTTCCATGACTATGAAAACATCAAACCATGGATATCCTCATTCCAAGATTATCATGTCAATAGGTTCCAGCATAATCCACGCCTATGGAGGTCTGCCACATGCCAAACAATAAGCCTTATAATTCAATTTATGCACCATGGTTAATATTCATGATTTCCTGATATAATCAGGGACTTTGTTGCATTAAAGTGCAAAATTTGTGGCACCTAATCCTCCGCAACTGATCTTCCATTTCATCATGCTGTTCCAAAAAGTCACCCATTTATAATGTAGGGAGATAGAATCAACAATAGCGATTTCATTACCATAAACTGCACATGGTTTGATACTATCATTTTGAAAATAATCGAATTTATTTCTATATTATTGTGTTAATTATTTGGGTTTCAATCCATTATAGTCCAAATCATAAAAAGAAAGAAGCTCTGAGGTAAGTCACAAATTCACCAGAACTAAGCAACTAAGAACTAGCTTGATCAAGCAGTGAGGTGGATTTGTTTTAAACAAGGGAAGCGGCTGCAGGGAGGCGGAAGTGGCTTTACAGCTGGTACATGGGGACCTGGATTAAGCAGCTGGTGCTGAGCAACCCTTTATGCAGCATTGAATTTAGACCTCAACAACATCAAGGTGGCTGTCACGTCGCAAGCTGTCGTGTAAAAGTCCTCCCACCACACTTAAGGCAGATGTTCGCCAGATAGTTGATGCGGGAACTTTGAGGCTTGGGACGGTTTCTGGAAAGCATTACCTGGAGTCCAAATTTGTGAACACGGGTTCGTACATCCAGCATCCAGAATCCACCTTGATTGGTTCACAGAGAGGTAAGCGGCTGCTGCTTAAGCCCCGAACCTCCAAATGGTGGAACCATTGTTCAATGGGAAGGATGTATGGCTGAGCAGCATTCAGGAAGATGGTAGTAATGCTTGCACGCATTCCATGTTGCCAGTTCCTGAGCCAGGTGGGTCCACACTATTCCAGGGCACTGCTGATAGCCAGGCTGGCTCATCAGCAGGACTTGGAAGGGCAGACCAGTTATTGGGGCAGGGATTCTTCCCATTCAGCTCCTAGCTGGACAAGCAGCGGGAAAGCTTGCCAGGCAGTGTTCTCAATGGCAAGCTATGTGGTTTTAGCTGGTTAGATTCCAGCAGGAACCCAACGCACACTCTGAGGTCCCCAAACTTCAGCTCTGCCAACTTGCACATAATACTTTCCTGAATTAGGTAAGCAGGATGTGTCTCTCCTGGGAGAGAGTGCACATTCAATTTCAAAAAACATCTCTGGAATTTCCATGTGTAGGTGGGATGCATGGAACTTTGTTTGGTTTGGATACACTTAAGCATGGTGCTGGGCTTCTGCTTGTGTCAGACACCTGGCTGACCAAAACAAAATCAGTGATCTATATACAGTATTGCATCAGAGAATAAACGTCTCTACAGTACTGCATACTAAGTTCTGCCACAGTTCTCTAAGTATTAGTCTCTCCAAATGATACTCCAAGATTTTATAGCACCATCTATTGACTGAATAGCAGTACCGCAGAACTATACTCAAAACACACTCGTCGCTGGTGTTCCACCATCCATAGGTCCAGTTCAGAAACACCACCACCACCTGTACCAAACTCTGCACAACAATCAACCCTCGTCAGTGTCCACTGGTTCACCATCTCCAAAAGGATCGATTTCAAGTTCCTGACCCTCACATACAAATCCCTTCACAATAGCACCTCCCTTCCTCTCTGACTGGCTCATACCCTACACCTCTGCCCATCCACTTCACTCAGCTGGCACAGACCTGCTGTGTGTTCCCCCGAACCCTCCACATTACTATCAGTAGCCAGGTCTTTAGGCACGATGCCCCTAACTTCTAGAACTCCCTGTCTCGCTCCCTTTCTATTTATCTTAAAATCCCACCTCAAGACTTACCTCCTTGCTCACTTCACTTGCCCCTTGCTTAGTGTCGAACCCATGCAGTTCTCGGAGACATTATCGTGAGTGAAGGACATTATATAAATGCTAGTAGTACAGAACCACCCAATCATAATGCCAATATAATTAGACAACACAATTATAACAGGGCTATGAAAATAAACTGGTCAATGGTTCAAGTTCCAGGTCGTTGCCGACGTCACTTCTAACCCAGACTGGCCAGCCTCCTGAAGCCAAATGGTCAGCTGCACATTCATGCAAATGCTTCTAGTTACAATTATAAGTGGACTTGTTCTCTACGAGGCATGTTATTTTAAGGTTGCCCTGTACTTTCTACTGCGAAATAAGACTGCTTATACGATAAGACTCCCGCCCGACCCACCCTACCATCGGTGGCCGGGCTTTCAGCCTCTCTGCTCCCACACTGTGGAACTCCATCCCACGGTCCCTTCAACTCGCTTCCTCCCTTGCCTCCTTCAAGGCCGGTCTCAAGACCCTTCTCTTTGACCGTACCTTTGGACTCCCTCCCACCTCTCTGCCTTCCCTCACCCCTACACCACCTCTCCCCCATGCTCTTCCCAGTCGTTCAGCAATTTGGGACGGTCTCCCGACGTGAAAGGCGCTCTATAAATATAATTTTGTAGTTTTTTTTTATATTTCTAAATCTCCCAAAATACATGGATTAACCTGAAATTTCAGCATCAGTACTGCAGTTACTCTTACAACAAATATAAACTACATATTCAGGCAAAATGTGCCAATCTGACTTTGCAATAATGAGCAGGACTTGACAAATATGCAATTCAACAATAGCACACCAATATCCAACAGCAAAGTAGATCTGTTAAATGAACAGATAACAAATGATCTGTTAAACCAATCAACTGAAAATAAATTGGTTTGTTTACTTATAAATCAACATACAAACAATTGTGGCTGTGCTGTATAAGCAAAGAATATTTTGGAAGCAATTAGAAAGTGAATAATGAAATGGAACATTAAGATACAGTGATAGTGTTAAAGACATTGATTAAACCACTATTACTAAGGCAGAATTTTCATTTTAGAAAATGTTGTCTGCACACATCTATGCAAAGTCTAAAGAATAGACTGATCCATCCCTATTTTATTGCATAAAAAGTCATGAATCCAAATAGGAAGATTTAATTCTCTGGTTTCATTGGTAAAAATGATAACACCAAAAACATTTCAGGAGGGAAGGTTGATAACATAACTCAGTAAGGGTTTTGGAACTTTGGAAAAACAACTTTAAAAGAAAAGACAATTGCTAATAAAATGCAATTTTAAGTATTTGTTTAAAAAAAATGAAAGAATGCATGATAAACATTCTGCAAGATGAAACCATAAAGCTTCTCTCCCAAACACTTAAGATGAAGTGACAAAACTCACCAGTGAGCAGTGCAATAGTGTCATCAATAGATTGCATTTCAGCAGACTTTTTAAACTAAACAACACATCCAGCACATAATTCAACAAAAGTGCCCACCTACGACTTGATTTCTCTTCATTGCCTTCTTCTTTAGGCGGAGCTTCAGGATCCTCGTTTTTTTCTTTTTTCAATTTCTTAGCAACCTGCTCCTTTACTTGTTCCAGTTCATCACTGTCAGACTCCTCATCCTCCTCCTGGCACAGCAATTAAGAATATTGGGATGTATGAGACCATTGCGGTCTATGTAGCTAGTCGCAGAAATATAGGATACCTAACCACACATCAAAAAAAATAGCCAACGCATTCCTGAATCGGTCTACCTCAGCAATCTGTTTTATACATACACACTATGCTTCGGCATTTAATATTTCACTCCAAACTTTGCAGCTTTCAAAATAAAGATTTAGAATCAAATTAATGCCTTCAAAATCATACATATTTCATGTTTTGCAATGTATTATGATTTAATGTGCTTTCTAGGATGGGGTCCCCAAAAATGTACAAAGTGTTCCTTAGTTCCTTGTACAAAACTGTGCTCAGTTATTTGGTCCTCAATCACTTGTATGAAATACTGTGTTGATTTAGTGAATGTTTTACTATAAATAATACTAAGCAACGTACCTTGTCGGAGCCCCGTTTTGTCTTCATTGTTGCTGGTTCACTGGAGACAATAGAATAAGTAAGTGAATATTTACATTCAGTAACTATATGGCTTAGGATTTTTGAATGTTGGCTAACATGTCTCGGGCATCATTTTGGATTTGGCAACTTTGAGGGATAGTCCACCTGGATTTAGATCTATTTTATTTATTTATTCATTTATTTAGTGTTTCAGAGTCTAAAATTTGTCAGATTCTTAAATACAGTATTAATTTTGAAATCAAAGTTAAAGAGTGAATTCAACAATCTGCCAAAATTTGGATGCTCTGAAATGCTTAAAAAAAATCTAGACCCAGTGGAATTTCTCCCACACTATATTTAATCCTATGAATAGAGAACCAAAGGAGACGAATGTACTTAAAAGCAAAAGCCAACATTCTCCTTTGATCACTCCACCACAAACCACTTCTTCTCTGACAAAACAGCATGGAATTTTTACATCAAGTTACAAGATCAAGTTACATCCTAGACGTTCTTCAACCCAACATCACACATGCTTCTCGAAATACAACTTACAAAATGTAAATAATGCATGTTGTGTTTCATTTTACCTGAATTTCCTTTTCCTACATTTTCAAATGTTAGGAACAGAATACACTATCTGGCCCACTAAGCTGTAATAATAATAATCCTTGCATTTAATATAGCGTTTTTCACGTGGGGAGGACGTCCCAAAGCGCTTCACAGGACACACTGTAAAGTGAATTAACTGTATATTTGTGGGCGAATGCGGCAGCCAATTGCGCACAGCAATGTCCCACAAACAGTCGTAGATTGAAAATGACCAATTTATTATTGTTTTTGGTTTTGGAGGGATTATTATTAGGCGTGTGGAGTAAGGAAACTTGCCCAAGGTTTCGCCCTGCCTGGAATTGAACTCAGGTCTCTCACTTGCAAAGCGAGTGCTCTAACCACTGAGCTACAGGACTCCGCTAGTGGGTTCAGGCCACTTGTTAGACAAATTCCCAATTTCAATTCAATTTAAAAAGTCATAAATGTAATAATTACAGAACATAAGAAAATCTGGAAAGTCCCATCAAATGCGTTCCCTCTCATGCAAGTTGCGCAAACTTGTGCCTTCCTCCTCTCCAATTCCCTAAGTTTTCTGCTTTTCTGTGCCCCATAGTAATCAAACAGTTTGTTGTTATCCACGCTCAAACCCTTTTTTCCCCCCAATTGATGTTGATCAGTTTCTTTTTAAAGGATGCTAATTGTTCATATAAAGAGCCAGATGCTCCCAATGCACTGCCCTGTGGGTAAAACAAAATCTGCTAATCTTCAATCTAGTTCCAGCCTTGTTTATCTTCTTTTTTTGGTCAGATTTGTGTCTGATACACACAGAAACCCATTACCAAGCTTCAGAATTTCCAAACTAAACAGAATTCCACACGTCCCACCTATACATGGAAATTCCAGAGATGTTCTTTGGAATGATAAGAAATGTATTATATAAGATCGGAAGAACTGTTTGGGAAATCTCTCTGGAAACTGGGAGAAACTCAAGACTTTCAAACTACATGAGAACATAAGAAATGCTAAACGAGAAAAGACCAAGGTCCATCTAGTTTGCCTTTCACCTTCCTGGCGACTGCATGCAGATATGTCCCAAATTACCTATGTACTATATCCCATAATGTTATTTCTTAAAAGAAAACTATCTAATCTGTGTTTGAAACAATCAACACTTCAACCGTCTCTCTAGTGAGCCTGTTCCACAGGTTCCCTATTTGCTCACTGAAATAGTGTTTGCGTAGATTCGAACTGTAGAAGTAAACTAAAAGCTAAAGTAACATTTCCATTAGCAATGCTCATTCTTTCTCAAAAACGCTTGCATCAAAGACTCACTGTAAAATCTATCATCTCTGTTCCTGTGGAATCCATTAAGTAACATTTAGTAGAAAATCACCAACCAATTCAGTCTCCATAATTACAACAGCTTCTGAATTAGACTGGAACTATGGCTTCTTAAGAAGGCACTCAATCCGGTATGGTTAATGTCATTTGTACACAAGTCATGTAGAACTCATCTACACTTAGGGGACAGAGTATGTGACATACTTGTATCTTCTTTTTATGTCCTCACTATTCACTAACCAAGACAAATAGCCAGGTTCTATCAAACTCAAAATACTTGCATCAGGTCTCCCTCAATCTTCATTTCTCCAGCAAAAGCAAGCCCAGTCGCCTAACTTTCTTTATAACTTAGCTTTTTAAGGCCAGGAATCATTCTTGATACTCTTCTATATCCTTTTTCAGAAATGGTGACTAGAATCGGCCTCAACATTAGTATAAACTTGCTCTGACTTGCAACTTCACACTGCATAAAGATATTTCTAATTAAGTATTGAATCCAGAACACATTATCCAGAATCTCATACCCACAACTAAACTCTTTAGTTGGGGCCTTAAAAATTATTGTAAAATAGTTTCATTATATACTTTTAGTAGGCTAGAATTTTGGAAGTACTGCAGTTTAAACAAGTATGAGCTCCTGAACACTTGAACTGCATACAGTACTTCGTGTAAATGTCTCACAAATATTACTAACATCCTCACCCCAGTACAGTTTTAGATATTTAAACCTAAGTTCCAGCCAGCCTTCGCCCATAGACTATTTCATCTTGAATGTAAGATAATGCAGAAGTGTGGAAAATTCTTAAATTCAGCCTTAATTTTGAAAGCCGATGCCTTTTACGAATTGAAGAAAATCAGTTTGCAAATGAAGGCAATTTAAGAATTTTCTACAATTCTGCATGTTTCTAAGACAAAATAGCCTTATGTGCCAAGACTAGGTGGAATTTCAGGTTTTTGTATCTAAAAGTGTGTGAGGAATTTAATAAGAATCTGATCAATACTTTGGCAGCTGTATATAAGCTGAATTGAGGACTGAAAGATATAGTGAATATTCAAAAGCACACCTGGAGAAGTATTAAGGAGTTGACTTAATATCCTCAGCAAAGATGCCATAGTTACCTAATCCTGCAGTTAAACTGCACAATTTACAATAAATGTCAATATGCAGGACACACAGTATCTAAGACAGCATAAATCATACCAGAACTGCACTCTTGTAATCCCTTGGAGGAGGTTATTTCAGGATTGGTGTGATTTGCAACTGTGCAGTATAAATATGGTGAATAAAAATTCCATATGCAGAGTGCCAAAATAGGCATTTTATTTTGTTTTCCTGACTAAATTGGAACCTATATGAAGTGAGCAGTATAAATCAGTTTGTTCCCACCACTACAAACTCATCATAGAATATGAAGACCACAAATGCTGAATATCAATTTAAAAGCAATAGGTTATGCTGCACTAATATACTGGAATTCACTGATGTGCCAAGTAAATAAATGGACAAGAAGTGCCTAGTGTATATATAATTTAATTTTCAGAAAGCATATAAAAAAAATTCTGGTTTTGGTTCATAAAAAATGCTGAAGCTCATGGAAATGTAGCTGGACTGATAAGGTATATTAGAATTGAGAAGCAAAAGATATAAATGAAAAAAAGCTTTGGCTAGGGACAAGGGTGGGAATTCCACAGGAGAGTCCTGTATACTCTCTACTCATGATTCATAAATGAATAAATGCAAGTGCCTCTTGCAATATTACAAAACTAGCTGATGATGCTAAGATGTATGGCCAAATGACATGTTTAAGGTAGACTGATAGCATTCATGTGGATTAGGGATCGGTTCCATTTTAAAAAAAATTAGCTGTGGAATGGCAGTTGGATTTTATTGTTTATTCGTATTAACAATCATACTGACCTTTCAACAACTGGAACAGAGCTTAACCGAGGGTCATCCTTCAGCAAGTCATGACTGCTTTTGCTTCTTCCTTTCATGCTCTAAAAGGGAAGTTTTATCGTTTAATGAAATAGAATTCAGTCGTCAATGCTTAATACAGGCACTTGTCAAGAACAATAAAGGTGTACTCACTTATTGTCATTTATTATTTTGTAAGCAAACACGGCTGCAGGAAACATTCTCACAATGTGAAACACACTAAATCAAATGCAAGTTTTTTGTTGTTTTTTTAATGTCTTTTGGAGGTTGTAGACAAGTATGCCATAGTGCATTTGTATCTTGGCAGTTGCATTAAAACTCATTATACAGAATTCTCATTAATGTACAAAAATATTTAGAAAACTTCTCTGTATGGTGCTTGAAAAGCCATTTGGTGCCAATAGCACCGAAGTTCAAGAAATGTCAATGTTGAGGTGGTTGTTAGTGTTGAAACCCAGACCCAGTGTTGAAATAGACTCACAAAACTGACCCAGACAGACGCCATACTAAAATCACAAAATAATATCTGTACAACAGAACCTAAGCTGTACAAAACCATCAAAACTGAAAAAGCCAAAAGAGGTAAACCACAAACTCTTGAAAAATGCTGGTTAAATGTTGTTGACGGAATGCAGCAAAACACAAGCGTCAATTTGACAGTTGGCAGAACTCATGTCTCTGAGTAAGGAGATTGTGGGTTCAAAACCCCATACCAAGACCTGATTTTATAACATAGGCACTGACATTCCAGTGCAGTACTGGGAGAGTACTTATTTTTGGATATATCATCTTTTGGATGAGATGTTAAAGTGAGATGGTTCAGGCGGATGCTGAAGACACTATAGCATTACTTCCTCATTCAAAATTTATTCAAATATTTTGATTGATTTGTTTCATTGCTATTGCTGGCTTTCTCAGTAAGAATTTGGCGCAAATCAGGAACTTTCCACATGAAAAATCCCAATCCTTGTATTGCATTACCCCATGATAGAATATTCACATGAATATGAACAAAACTACATCACTAAAATGCCTTGAAATCAGCTACTTAATTCTATAACTATCAGTTGTCCACTTCAACTACAAATAAAAATCTCAAATCACTAGAATTTGACAAGGAACTGAGTTCCTACCTGGCTAACTCTGTTCACTTCCTCTTCTTCCTCCTCCGCTTCTTCTCCAAAGGAAAGCAAACTAAAATTTCTAGAACACAAAAGTTAATGGTTACAATGATCAAACACAACACTTTTTTTTTAAAAATCACTGAACATGACCCTTAACTAAGTATTTGCTTCGCTTTCTAATATACGGGTTTGATTCTCAGGCAGGGCGAAACATTGGGCCCTGCCCAGGAATCGTTTCCTTCACACACCTCTGTTTACCAAGCAGCAAGTAGAAACCCGGTTGTCAGTCTACAGCAAGGTGTAATTTTGAGCATCTATAAAAATCGTGATAGAAACTCAAGTCATAACTGTTATTGACTTTAATACTTATTTATATACATTTGCAAATCAGTTCAGTTCAAATCCCCAGATTCCACACTTAAATTGCACAGTATAGTCAGGCCCCATCTGGAGTACTGCATACAGTTCTGGTCTCTGTGATATAAACAGATTGCCAAGGCTCTAGAGGCAGTGCAGAGAAAAGCTACGAGGTTTGACCTCCAGGAACTATAAGGAATGATAGATATTTGGATCAGTCTTGAAAAGGAGCTTTGTGTAGCTTAGCTTAGCAGTTAGAGCACTCACCTCGCAAGTGAGTGGACCTGGGTTCAATTCCTGGGAGTGGCAAAACGTTGTTGTTACTCAATTGCCGGATCACTTTTCTGGGGGTAATAAGCCCGTCAAAAAAAATGTTTTTTAAAAATAATCATTTAGTCACTCAATCCACGACCGTTTGTGAGACACTGCTGTGTGCAATTGGCTGCCATGTTTTGCCCACAAAATGTACACTGAATTCACTTCATAGTATATTCTGTGAAGCATTATGAGACTTCTTGAAGACGTGATATCAAATGCAAGGATTATTATTAGTTATTAGCTTGCCTAACCCGAGACAAACAGAACCGAGGTCAGGAACCATTTCTTCATACAAAGAATGGGATGTGTGTCCAAGCCTCGGACAGAAAGATGGTGGCAATGCTCTCTTCCTGGTGCCTGCCATCCACCCAGTTAGGGCTCAAAGCCAATCTTATCAGATTCAAATGACCAACTAGTGACTATCCTCCTTGCAAGGAAGGTTCCAGGGTTAACTTGTAGCGAAATTAGCACCAAGGTGCCATTTGGCAATGGGACATCAGATCGAGCCAGCCCTCTGTGGCAGTCTCAGGAGTCCAGTTCCTGAGCCAGAGTACTGAATGGTTTGCAGCACTCCAGGGCTCTTCTGGTTGCAGCACAGCCAGCCTCACTGGCAGGACTTGGAAGGACAGACAAGTCAATGGGAGCAGGGACTCTTCCCAGTCAGCTCCCAAATCTTGCAAACCAAAGCCCTAACTGGTAAGTCGGTGCTGGCTGTAAGAGCAGTGGGAAAGCTTGACAGACAGTTCTCTCAATGGCAAACTATGCAGTTTTTGTTGGCTTGACTCCAGCAATACCCCAATGCACACTTTGGGGACCCCAAGCATCGGTTCTCATCAACCTGCACCTAATACTGTTGGAATTAGGCAATCAGGATGCATCCCACTAAGGAGAATGCACATTCCATTCCAATAAATCTCTCTGCAATTTCCACGAATAGTTGGAATACATGGTTTGGATACTCCTATGCATCGTGATGGATTTCTGCATGTGTCAGACCAAAAAAAAACCTGGCTGAACCAAATAAATTCATACAGAAGATTGCAAATAGGTGGAATGCGCTAGAAACTTGTATAGGCAGAATCAATATGGATGTTTAAAAGAGATATTTTGGTAGTGGAGGTATTAGAGGTATTGCAAAGGGACTTACAAATATCCAACAAAACCTATAACTGGTAGAATAGGCTCAATGGGCTGAAGGCCTCCTTCTGTTCCCGTTTTCCTATGTTCCTTTACGTGTACACAATGGAGACTGGATTTGGAAATGAAAATTGTATAAATATATAAAAAGGAATTGATTAAATAGCTCCAGTGTTAGAGTTAACAAATGTATAAGATTGATGAGCCAATAATCTCCTATGGTTCTTTTAGGCCATACAGATTGGAAATTCCACTCTTTGCTGAGTTAGCCGATTTTGGGGGGCCATTACATTTGACCTGAATTAGGAAAAAAAAGAAAATCAACCAGGGTTCTTGCTATATAGAGATCATTGCTAGAAGACATGTGAAGATAAATGTCAGTTGAAGACAATATTGGGTTCCACTGTGATGTCCCATTGCAGTCAGATTTCACCTATGCATATCACATGCACGATCAAGGCTGACAGGTGGTATAATGGTTATTTGCATGAGTTTCCAGAAATTAGTTGAACTGAGTCCCAGGAGGAGAATTTTTTTTTAAAAAAGTGAGAGGGAAACATTAAATTGAAGATTTTCCCATTTACAGGCTTTAACAGTTTCAAGTGTTAAAATTATGATCCATAGATTTGTCAAATAATCCAAAATAATGAATAATAATAATAATTAAAATAATATTAAAATAATGAAATTGGACAATTGAATGTAACTGTATCTCAAATCATAATTAATGTCAGCTAGCTGCTGTAGTGAACATTTATTTAAAACACAAATTCCTCACTTTAACGTGTATAAATAGGCAACAGATTACAGAAAGGGGCATTAAAGCAATTGTCAAAATAGCCACACATCGTATTTCCATTTTTATAAGCTAATTAATAGTGTGTTCATAAAGAACTAATTATTTAGAATTCAGAAAATATGGTTATACTGGTTCATGGTACTGTCCCAATTTACACTTCAGAAACTTTACCATGGAATTTTAATTAAAAAGGCATAATACATAAGTATCTGAAAAAGAGAAAAAAAAATCTAAGGCTGCACCAATTCTCGCAATGAGGAAGTGTTAAATGAAAATATATTATCAGATTACCCTTCTTGCAGCTGCATGGCATTTTGCTCACTGGTGCTGTACACAACACCCTGCACTCTAACATGACCATGAGGTTCAAACAATCTCAACCATTTGCAGGCAGCAGTCAGGAGACAAAATAAAGCCTTATGCAAGGTTTCAAAATGAAGGCAACGTAGCTCAAAATGAAAATAAGATTGTTTAACATCCATAAATATAAAAGTGTAGCTTCATACATAAATCAGAATGGCTGATATGTATACTTATAACTGTTCAGTATGGTAGGATTGATGGAATAAATGTTTTTACTTTGTGCCTTTGGAAAGAGATTTTTTCATTTCTTCCTCTTTTTTCTCCTTTTTGTGCTTTTTGAGTACTCTGGGAATTATATCATCAAAGCAGTTGTGCAGCACCTGTAGAAAACATTTTGGTAAAATGTAAATATTTAGAAATAACTTCTAATGGGTTTTCAACATTTTTAAATGTCAGGGCTGAGGTCAATCTCCAAATGTCAGAAGACAGTACGTTTTGGCTTTGAAAGATTCACACGTTGTTCGTGAATATTATATTGGATCTGTCACAACTATTAACAGAATTAACACTTACCTACATGAATCCTCCGACATGGAAACAGTTAACACAATAAGTTGCCAGAGTAAGAATTTCAGCGCTCAGAGATGCAATCATGTACAAAGGGTGTTATATCTAAATGCAAGTTGTTTACAAACATAAAAAATAGTCTATAACAAAAGTAAGTACAAATGTACTAATCCCATAGCTATGAGACTGCACAAATGGCTGCTATTTTTGTATACCAAAAAAATCACTTTGCTTCATGGTATTTCCTGAATAATAATACTTCCATTAGGTATATGTAGTACTTTTTCACGTCAGAAGACATCTTAAGAGTCTCAAGTCCCACAGGATTTACTGCAAAATGTTGTGACTGTGTACTTATAGGTGAATGCAGTAGCACAGCAATGTCCCATGGTCAAGAAACAAATAACCAATTTTATTTGTAGGGATTGTTGGCCACTTACGAAAAACTGGCTTCTTTTTTTGAGTAGTGCCACGATATCTTTTAACGCCAAACTGAACAGACAGGCAGGACCTCGGTTTAACAGCTCATCTGAAGGACAGCATCTTAAATAATAATATAATCCTTGCATTTGATAAAGCGCTTTTCACATCTTCTATACTTCACTGAATATCTTGTAAAGTGAATTGACTGTATATTTTGCGAGCGAAACATGGCAGCCCATTGCATACAACAGTGTCCCATAAACAGTCGTGGATTGAGTGACCAAATTATTATTGTTTTTTTTTGAGGGATTATTATCAGGCGTGTGGAGTAAGAAAACTTGTCCAAGTTTTGGCTGGGAATCAAACCCAGGTCTCTCACTTATGAGGCGAGTGCTCTAACCACTGAGCTACAGGACTCCACTAATTGGCAGAATCGGGACTGGAGTGGCAGTCTGGCTTCCTTTTACTTAATAAGGCAATACAACCTAGGCGATGGGGCTGAATTCACAACTTTCTGACTCAGAGATGAGAATTCTACCAATTGAGCCAGGCTCACACCTTGTGTAAAGCGATTTGAGAGGTTGGTCATTATAAGACACTATAAATTTACAACTTATTATTAAAAAATAAAGGTAAATTAAGAATGTCATAGTTCTTTCAACATGGAATTTTGTTTCAATGTAGGATCACTGGATAACAATAATTTGCATTTATATAATGCCTTCACGTGAGTAGTGTCTAGGAGAGCGGACCTGGATGTCAAGCTGGGGAGGTGACCATAGGCATGGTCAGAGAGAAAAGGCTTCAGATGTGTAATGAAGAAAGGCAAGGAGGGAGCATAGTGAAAGGATTGAGGCAAAGAGTTCCAGAGTATAGTGGCTGAAAACATAGCTGCCGATGATGGAGCGGAGAGGACGAGGGAAACTGAGATGAGTGAAGGCTGTACTTTGGTAGATATCTAAAACATTCACAAACCACATTAGTGACATCAAGTGGTAGGAAACTGATATTACAACTAAAAAATTACATGGAACTTCATTCTGTAGGAAGTGTGCAGTGTACACACATAATATTCATAAACTAATGACCATAGATCCAATATCTGTATTTGGGCAACAGCCAGTTAAAGCAAATGTGAATTCCCAATTAGTAATCTCACCTCAGTGGTTTTAATCTTGTGAGGATTAAGTGGTCTTTCATCGTTATCTACTTCTACTTCTGCTAGCCTTAACATATTATAAACAGTATCACCAGTCACCTGGAAAATAAAATAAAGTAGTTATTCATCAGGAATTCCCAGATACACATGCAAAATAACACCCTATTGGTATCTTATTCTATTATGTATTGTTGAAAATACTCTACTCCATTTATATTGCAAAATGTAAATTTCTAATTTATTCAAAACCTAGATTTTAATATTAAAACAAAAACTTTAAATTGAAAATGACTGATCTTTAATCGATTAGACTTCTATAAAACATAGTAGATATGTAGCATCCAGGTAGTACAGTATTCATTAACATTCTCCTCCAATGAAATTATACCCAAATTTATATTGCTTCATTATAGTACATCTCAAGAATTGAAACAATATTTCCAAATCTAAATGGTTTAGCGTCTTTGCTTTAAACAGCCTACATTATGTTTCTGTACATTAGGTCTTGTCCTTGGGTGTTTCAGAAATTAAACCAAAATCTAAAAAGTAAGCAAATTTTACTCATAATCCAACCTTAGCAAAGATCGTATGTTTGTTATTAAGTTCATCTGCACGCCCCAGTGAAAAGAAAAACTGACTGCCATTATCGTGAGGTCCAGCATTTGCCATAGCAACCAATCCTCTTCTATTAAAGCGCAAACGAGAATGGAATTCATCCTGCAATAAAGATGTAATAAAGAAGAACACTCAGGCATTAGTAACAGTAAGATTTAATGTGCTTGATTTTGAGAGAAATGTACAGTTTAAAAGAAAAAGTATCCAATTAGCAATCTTCATACTGCATGAAACAATAGTTTTAAATGATAACCACATTCAGTATCTGTTCCAACAAAACTATGCATTTTATGAAAAAATAAAGAAAATTAAAAAAGGCTGAATCGGTAAATATACTATGATACTGTCTGAACAAGAGCAATTCAGATGAAAAAGACCCTTCAACCCATGTGATCTCATCCTTCCAGGATACCTACTCTAGCATTCTCCCTTCCCATCACAGTATCAATTTTTTTTTAAAAAACTGTTTCAATTGTTAAATACTCCCTGAAGACTGACCTCTTGTCTTTAACAGAGTGACATGGGTAACCAGTAAGATGCGCAATTTTTAAAAAAACTTTAAAAATAGGGAATCTGATGAATTACGCAGAACAGAGACGGAAACCAAAGTGGTTCGGTCTTATAATGCTTTCATAAGATTGAAGTTAGGTTCACCTCACTCAACCATATCATGAGGCATCTTGAAAATGTAGCCCCGCTTCAACGGGATAAATTATTTTTCACTAATTTTAATAGGGTCTGTTTTTGATAGTTGTGAATTGAAGCCTAAGTGAATCAAAGCATAGAGGAGGCAGAAAGGAGTATTGCCCGTTTAAACAACGGACACTACATGTCAAGGCTACCCAGTGAATGTTTATTTAGACTGTACTACTCATGGACAGTGACACAAAAATTCCACAGCCAGAGCTCAGAAGAGTTCAGTTTTTCTGAAACAAATACTGCACTACACAGAGTAATGATAAGACAAATTGAAAGGGAACTGTTTAAAGGAGCAGCCCTGGGTGGGCTCCAGAAAACAACAACAACAAGATTTCATTTATAGAGCGCCTTTCAAGTCGAAAGGACGTCCCAAGGTGCTGGACAGTTGGGTTGGGACCCGAGCAGGGGGGAAGTGGTCAGGGTGAGGGAAGGGAGGGAGTGAGGAGGGGGTAGAGAGTCAAGAGGGGAACTGAAGGCATGGTTGAAGAGAAAGGTCGCGACTGGCCTTGAAGGAGGAAAGGGAGGAGGCAAGGCAAAGGCACTGGGGGATGGAGTTCCAGAGCCTAGGGGCTGAGAGGCTGAAGGCCAGGCCACCGATGGTAGGGCGGGGGATGTGGAGCAGACCGGAGCCAGAGGAAGGGAGGGTACAGGCAGGTAAGTAGGGGGATAGTAGGTCAGTGAGGAAGGAAGGCCGTGAATGGCCTTGTAGGTGAGGATGGGATCTTAAAAAGCAAAGATGATCTTGCAAAACAATTGCTGAATCGAGCATTCCTGAACTAAGGCACAATGTAACCAAGGACTTTTCCTGACCACAGTATTCTGTGCAGGCACTCTAATTAGTTAGTCAAATTGGCCTCAATGTGCAAAATCAGTGATACCCACAACAACGCCCAATTAACTTGTTTTATATTTTCCATTCGAGTTTGTGTGGTACTTTCCAGGCCATTCTTATTGTTTTGTTTAATTGTACTTATCATACTATATATTTTGCAGGGCTATGGGGAGAGAGTGGGGAATGGACTGATTTGGATAATTCTTTTAAAAGACACAATGGGCCGAATGGCCTCCTTCTGTGCTGTATAATTATATGACATTGTTCTGTTTTGCTGTTGGTTTGGGTTCAATTATTAGTCTTTCCCACATGGTTGGAGGCAGAGACATCACAACTGAATCAGTGCTGCAGGCTTTGCAGGGGATTTGACATAAAATAGGTCAGGCAGGCTCTTATTATATCCTATCTAGTGAACCCTACAGAAGAGAGCAGGCCGTGGTTGTAAGTTGAAGTTTCAAACTTAGTTCTGATGCTCCCTTCTCAATGGTAAAATATCCTGTCAGAATCAGACATGAACAGTTAGCAACTGTATCTGACTTTGAATTAACAGCTTCAGGAAGGAAAGAAAATACTACAGCAATACAAGAAAAATTAACAACAAAAGACCTTAAATGGACGTCCATATATTGATTCTCCACCTGTTCCAGTTCTTGTAGGATCACCTCCCTGAACAATAAAGCCTGGTACAACTCTGTGAAATATTGTGTTGTCATAATAACCTGCCAGAGAGGGGGAAAAAACACTTTTTCAGAAAAAGACCTAAAGAAACAAACAGGAGTCCTGTAGCTCAGTGGTTAGAGCACTCGCTTTGCAAGTGAGAGACCTGAGTTCAATTCCAGGCAGGGCCAAATCTTGGGCAAGTTTCCTTACTCCACACAGAGCCTAATAATAAATCCTCCAAAACCAAAAACAATAATAAATTGGTGATTTTCAATCTACGACTGTTTGTGGGACATTGCTGTGCGCAATTGACTGCCGCGTTCTCCCACAAATATACAGTCAATTCATTTTACAGTGTGTTCTGTGAAGCGCTTTGGGACGTCCTCCCGACGTGAAAAGCGCTATATCAAATGCAAGATTATTATTATAATAATTCTTGCATTTAATACAGCGTCTTATCACATCTTCAATCTTCAAGACGTCTCAAAGAGCTTCACAGAATATACTGCAAAGTGAATTAACTGTATATTTTGTGGGCAAAACGTGGGAGCCAATTCCGCATAGTCCTGTGTCATAGTGGTGAATTGAGTGACCAAATTATTTTTTTATTTTTTTTGAAGGGATTATTATCTCTAGAAAAGCGATTTGGCAATGAACTAACAACTGGGTTCCTACTTACTGCTAGATGAACAGAGGCATATGGAGTAAGAAAACTTGCCCAATGTTTCGGCCTGTTCAGGAATCGAACCCATGCCCTCTCACTTGCGAGGCGAGTGCTCAACCACTAAGCTACAGGATTCCACAATAAAGGAAGATAAAACTGCAAATTATTTTCAAGTTTATATCTTGGTCCAATAGCAACAGTTTAATCACCTAAAGATAGCTGGATTTAAATGAAGCAAAGTGATCCCTCCACTTAACTCACCTAAATCAGCAAAAACAAGCTGCATTTGTTGATAAACAAAAGGTTTCTTTCCTTACGTACAATAGTCTTTCTTTAAATAAAGTGCTCCATAAATCATGGGCAAGTAAACTAAGATTTGCTTCACTGTACCACCAAATAATTCAACACAAATGCCCCATCATCTTAAACAAAACATCTTTAATTACTAAAGCAAAAACAGAAGTCGTTGGGAACACTCAGCAGGTCAGGCAGCATCTACGGAGAAAGAAAAGTGAGTCAATGTTTCGGGTCCACGACCCTTCGTCAGAACTGGGGCATGTTGGGAGGGAGAGGCTTTTAAGGACTAACAGAGAGGGGGGAGGCAGGGCAAGGAAGATACAGGAGAAAATGGGGTAGAGGACAGGGGATGATGGGTTAAAGAAGTGTTAATGATGCAAAACAAAGTGGGGGAGATTGCAACAAAATGGGGAAAAGAGATGGTAATAATGCAAAACAAATGGGGAATTACAGAAGTCACTGGCAACACTTAGCAGGTCAGGCAGCATCTATGGAGAAAGGAAAGCGAGTCAACATTTTCCCAGCGACATCTGTTTTTGTTTCAGATTCACAGTATCTGCAGTGTTCATCTTTAATTACTACCTTCCATGCATAGTTGGATGAAGTTTCTGCATGCTTTTGGCGCCTCTTTGGACCATAATTCAATATCAATATCGCCTGCTGTGGTCTTCAAAAGGACCTGAAAAGTACAAATAAAAACAATGCAAATGTAGCCTCAACACAAGTGTATCAAAATCAACAAATACAACAAGATTGCATTTATAGAGCGCCTTTCACATCGGGAGGACGTCCCAAGGCGCTGGACAGTTGGGTCGGGACCCGAGCAGGGGGGAAATGGTCAGGGTGAGGGGAGGGAAGGGAGGGAGCGAGCGAGGAGGGGGTAGAGAGTCGAGAAGGGAGCTGAAGACACGGTTGAAGAGAAAGGTCTTGAGAACGACCTTGAAGGAGGAAAGGGAGGAAGCGGCGAAGGCACTGGGGGATGGAGTTCCAGAGACTAGGGGCTGAGAGGCTGAAAGTCCGGCCACCGATGGTAGGGCGGTTGGGGCGGGGGATGTGGAGCAGACTGGAGCCAGAGGAACGGAGGGTACGGGCAGGTAGGTAGGGGGATAGTAGGTCGGAGAGGTAGGAGGGAGCGAGGCCGTGAATGGCCTTGTAGGTGAGGATGAGGATCTTGAATTCGATCCTCTGGGGGATGGGGAGCCAGTGGAGGCGAGCGAGGGTGGGAGTGATGTGGTCCCGAAGCCTGGTGCGGGACAGTACACGAGCTGCAGAGTTCTGAATGACCTGCAGCTTGTGGAGGGAGGTGGCAGGAAGGCCGACGAGGAGAGTTCCCATAGTCCAGCCTTGAGGTGATAAAGGCGTGGACCAGGGTTTCAGCAGCGTGAGGGGTGAGGTAGTGCCGTAGTCTGGCGATGTTCCGGAGGTGATGGAAGGCGGTGCCAGTTGCGGTGCGGATATGAGGGAGAAAGGACAGCTCAGGGTCGAACAGAACACTGAGGTTCCTGACTGGCTTTGAGAGGTGGAGAGTGCAGCCTTGGATGCTGATGCTGTCAGCGCCTGAGGTGCGGAGGCGCTGACGTGAGCCAATCAGGAGGGCCTCAGTTTTGCGCACATTGAGCTGAAGAAAATTGTCTCTCGTCCAGGACTCGATGTCGGACAGGCAGCTGTCAGGACATCGGTGGTCGTGGAGTTGAGGGTAGAAGAGGAAAGGTAGAGTTGGGTGTCATCCGCACCCACGTTGGGTGCTCCACATACAGGATTATTCACACAGGTCACAAAATTATTCAACAACAATCACAAAATTATTCAACAACAATCATTATTACCTTATTCAGGTTGTATTCATATTCTCTCTTAGTCTCGGGACTAGAGGAGGTTTTTCTTTAACTATTTTAAACCTAATAATAGTATCTTTGCATAATTTTAAAAACTTTAGTGAGAGGCACTAAGCCATAAAAACTGGGAATGTTCTGTCAATTTCTGCCAGGGAATTACAAATATCCTTAAGATTCATAGGCTGAAAAGAGAAAGGTCATAAACACACACCGTAGGATAGGAGGGCAAAAAGGCAGAGGAGGAATAAGCGAATGCTTTTTAAGAGAGCCAGCAGGTGCACTTGAATGACTAAAATTCTACACATACACAAAAAACACACTACTCCTGATCGGGACTCCTTCCAATCTAGTGAACCTGTTCAAATATGTTTGCTGGGGACATAACAAGAACACAACTTTCATGTATTTTGGTGTCAGCCAGGAGTCCAACAAGTGCAGAAATCAATCACCATGCTTAAAAGTATCTAACCATGCTACCTACATATGGAAATTACCATCTTTTGGAATGAAATTCATATTCTCTCCCCAGAGGGATGCATCCTGCTTACCTAAATCCAGAGAGTATTAGATTCAGGTTGGCAAGATGTAAGATTTGGGGTGTGCTGGGGTACTATAGTTTTACAACTTAAAACTGCATAGCTTGCTGTTGAAAGTATGACCTAGTAAGCTTCCTACTGCTTGTGCAGATAGCACCTCTACCTGTTAGGGCTTGCAGGTTAATAGGAGCTGAGTGGGAAGAATTCCTGTCCTCCATGACTGATCTGCCCTTCCAAGTCCTACTGATGAGCCAGGCTGTCTGGGCTGTCTACAGCAGTGCCCTGGAGCACGGTGGACCTGTCTGGGTTACAGAACCAGATTACCAAGGCTACCACAAAGGGTCGACTAAGTTCCAACATTCTGCTGCCAAGTATCTCACCAACAACAACAATATTACACTTGTAAAGCACCTTTCACGTTGGGAGGACATTCCAAGGCGCTGAAAGTCCCAAGGCGTCCCAAAGCGATGAAGTCAGTTCAACTCCAAGAAGACCTCACTAACCTTCCCCATGATTGATCAGTACAATATCACTCAGCATCCGCACTCATTAATGGTTATTTGGGCAAACTAATGGATGGCTTCAGCCCTTACAAAACGGTATCCAAGCAAGAGTCACCAAGAATTATGTTATCCACACACAGGGTTAATTTCCACATGTATGTGGATAATATACAAATTACTTTTCCACTCAATTCCAGGTCCGCTGCTGTTCTGTCTGCTGGCTTGTCAGACATCAATGCCTGAATGAACAAAATTGCCTTCAACTCAATATACATAAGATGGAAGCTATCCTCCTCAGCTCCAGCCAACATCACCTCACTTCTGGCTCTGAACTTTTCAACCTTCCTGAGGTCTCTCAAACTCTCCGAACCTGTGCAAAACCTTGGGGTCCGTTTCGATTCCCAGCTTTCCTTTTGCCCTCAAATCTGGTCCTTCACTAATACAGCCTTCTTTTACCTCCATCATGTCAACTGCTGCCGCCACGTCCATCTAACACCACTGAAACACTCACAGTAAGATGGTGCTTAGATTTGCACTACTCACTGGTCTCCCTAACTCCATCATCAACAAGCTGCAACTCATTTGAACCTCCAAGGCCCAGATCCTCACCCACAACAACCTCTGCATGCTGATTACCCCAGTCCTCGCCAATCTCCACTGGCTCCCAGCAGATGGGTAGCTTTCTCTCTCCAACTTTCTCCTAGCCTCATTTCTTATGAGCTTACTGATGCAAGCCATCATATCCTCCACTCAGCTAACTCTGGCTCACTGCACCCCGTCTTCTCCACACCACCATCATGGCTGAACTTTCAGTTCCTATGCCCTCAACCTCTGGAATTCCCTCTTTCTACCATTCCATCTCACATGTTCTCTGTCCTTAAGTCCTGCCTCAAATCCTTCCTCTTCCAACACACCTACGGCCGCCTTCCTCTCCTTCTCTACCTTAATTGGCATCCAATCCTGTTCCTGTAAAGAGCTTGAAGACCTTACCCTATGTGAAGCTTGCTACATAAATGCAAGTTGTCGTTCTTGTACTTATATGTGAGCCTTTAGTGACAACCATGAAATATTGCAGCAGAGTTTTGCAGCTAACGGCAGCTGCAGGGTGGAGGGCACCAAAGTTACCCCAATTACCTTTATCCCTACCTCCATGATCACCTTGTCTCATTTCCCCAGAGGATAGTAAAGGTAGTGATTCTGAAAACAGTGGGACAATATCTGGTATTAAACAGGATTGATGGCTGTAAGGGTAAGAGAGGCTGGGGAGAGACAAGAGAGCTAAAGGTGCTCCTCTATGCCATAGGCCTAGGCCATGGTCAGCAACTAGTCAGAGATGAATATTGTAAGTGTGTAAGGTGACAAACATTCTGGTTTGTTTATTATATGTTTGTTTATTACAAGAGGAACTTTACACCACTTTCTATTAGAAGATTGTAATGAAAAGTAACAAGTGACATCCTCTCTCTCTGTGACCAGGGCTCCCTCTGCCTTATCGTTTTCCTGGATCTCTCTGCCGCATTCGACACAATCGATCACGCCATCCTCCTCCAATGCCTCTACTCCCTCATCCACCTTAGTGAGACCGCATTCACATGGTTTGTGTCCTATTTAACAAACCGCCAACAATAAATCTCGGCAAATGTTTTTTCCTCCCACCACCGCCCAGTCACTTGCAAGATACCCCAAGGCTCCATCCTTGACCCCATTCTTTTCTTTATCTACATGCTACCTCTCGGCAATGTCATCCGCAGACATGAGGTCAACTTCCACACGTATGCGGATGACACCCAAATCTACTTCTCCTCCAGCTGCAACTCCCAGTCTGCTGATGTCCTCTCAACTTGTTTGACGAATATCAAGGCCTGGGTGAGCTCAAATTTCCTGCAACTGAATGTCAGTAAGATGGAAGCCATACTCTTTGGCTCCCGTCAATGTCTTCACTCCTGCAGGTCTGAACTTCTCAAACTCCCCGGGCTCTGCCTCAGACTCACTGAACGTGTGTGCAACTTAGACTTCAGGTTCGATCCCCAGCTTTCCTTTTTACCCCCCATCCGTTCCCTCACCAGAACTGCTTTTTTCCACCTCTACCACTCCATTCCACTTCCACCCCAAAACTCTGGAACTCTATCCCTCCATCCCACCGCCTTCCCCCTCCCTCCATCCCACCGCCTTGCCCCCTCCCTCCATCCCACCGCCTTGCCCCCTCCCTCCATCCCACCGCCTTGCCCCCTCCCTCCCCTTTCAAATCCCACCTAAAGACCTTCCTTTTTGATTGTGCTTACGATCACCTCCCCCCTCCCCCTGTCTCTGTGTCAGACTCTGCCACTGTAAAGCGCTTCGGGACACCACCGCCTATAAATGCAAACTATTCTTGTATTGGATAAGTTGGTTCAAGGCTATGACCAAAAGTTGAACTGCACATCAGTATCCGTGAAAGGAACCAGTTGCTTGGGTGGGCAAAAGGGCGTTTCTATTCTCTTTTATGTTTTAGGGCATAGAGATTTGGAAAAAAAGATGCTGGAATTCTAAAGTTAAAACAGAAAATGCTAAAGATAGGACAACACCTCAAGCCCATACCAGATAGGCAAACATTTCAGTTGTAATTGCACAGAATTCATTACGCAGATCCAAGGAAGGGTTCGAACCAAAACATTAACCTACTTCTCTTTGAGATGCTGTGTTATGTCCAGTCGTCTCTACATGTACCACTGTTTTTTTCATTTGCTCTGACTGATGAAAGCCATTCACAAAGCAGTTCAACTGCACAGCAAAAATCAATCAGCTGCACATTTACCACCGAACCAGACGCAGCATCAGTCACTGCCGTTCATTTGACACAACACAAATTGCATTACTCCTCACCAGCACTGTATATTACTGAATGAATCCACCCCCATCTAAAGAGATTGACGCAACACGTTTGAATGCATTAAAATGCAATTGAATCCCCTCTCCCCCGTCTGACCTCCTATCCCTTCCACTCCCCCCTATCCTCTCCCTCACACCGTTCCTTCTTTCTCTGTTCTCCCTCCATCTTCTCTCTCTCTCCCCTTTCCCTCCTCTCTCTCCCCATTTTCCCTCCTCTCTCTCCCCATTTTCCCTCCTCTCTCTCCCCATTTTCCCTCCTCTCTCTCCCCTTTCCCTCCTCTCTCTCCCCATTTTCCCTCCTCTCTCCCCTTTCTCTCCTCTCTCCCCTTTCCCTCCTTTCTCCCCTTTCCCTCCTCTCTCTCCCCATTTTCCCTCCTCTCTCTCCCCTTTCCCTCCTCTCTCTCCCCTTTTCCCTCCTCTCTCTCCCCCTTTTCCCTCCTCTCTCCCCCTTTTCCCTCCTCTCTCCCCTTTTTCCCTCCTCTCTCTCTCTCTCCTCCTTTCCCTCCTCTCTCTCGCTCCATCCCTCTCTCCCTCCCACTCCCTTCTCCCAGAAACGCACCATTCCTGACGCCGGGAAGCACTGAGCTCCACGGAGAGCCTCGGGGTGGGGGAGCCTCGGTGGGGGTGGGGGGCGCTCACCTTGCCGCTGCTCGGCGGCTCCTGGATGTAGATGTTGCTCATGGCGGCGGTTGAGAACGTTTACCGGTTTGAACCTGGGCCCCCGCCGCTCAGCGCGCGCCCCTTCCTCAGCGACGGCCTGAATTTACCGCCATGTTGTGGAGCGTTCTCATTCCGCGCAAAGGCAGAGGGGAGGTGGGGGGAGAGAGCGGCTCTCGATAGGACCCGCGAAAAGGGAATAAAAAGCCCTGTGTGTGTGTGTGTGTGGTTTCCCCCCGCCCCCCCGAGTCACCAGATTTAATATCTTCACAAAGTCGATGTGTCTGCTCCGAATATCCAACTTCCAAGACCGCGCGTGTTACTCTCGAGCGAATCCCCCCCCCGCTGGGAGCCGCAGTGAGCTGACCCGCGGGTGCGCGGCTCAAAAGCGTCCCGAAGGCCAACTGGCGCCGCGCGCGCGGCCGCTCAACAGCATTGGGGGGTGAGGGCAGAGGCGGCGGCGGCGGCCAACAACAGCCATAAAGACGGCAGTTATTTGTTTTTATTTACTTCGGACTAACTGTGGACAGTTCCACATCCACCAGCGGCTTAAGTGGCTCTTTACAATGGTCGCAGCCCTGTTTTGCGTGTTGTAGCCGAGGCGGGTGGGGGGGGACGGGGGGGACGGCATTGATCGGTGCACCCGATTTACAAACCGCCCCCGAGCGGCGGCCGACAGACAAGACGGCCCTTTTTTGGCTGCGTTTGGGTCATTCCTTCGTTGGACCCCGATTTTTGTGTTTTAAATGACTTCTGCAGGTAAATAACTCGCACCGTCTCGGGTCTGGTCTGTTGCTAAATTCGTTCTCTTCCTCCCCCCCCACACCCCCCCACTACTCCCCTCCCCACTGCTGTCCTCCACAAGGAACATGGGGACCGAGAGGAAAACGAGCGTCGGTTGAGAGCAGCAGCAGAAATGTTCCTAAAACTCGGGGAAAGTGCCTCGAAGAGAGCGGTCCCGTTGCCCTGGTGTCGAGAGCGGCTCCGCGCACATTCGTGTTCAACACCTTAAAGGAAGGCAGAGGGGGTGGGTGGTGAAGAATGACGGTGGGTGGTGAGGGGCCCTGTCATGTCCTCCTTGGTTTGGGTTTGTGTGGCTGCACTGGGGCTCTGACGTTATAATAATAATAATAATAATAATCCTTGCATTTGATATAGCGCTTTTCACGTCGGGAGGACGTCCCAAAGCGCTTCACAGAACACACTGTAAAGTGAATTGACTGTATATTTGTGGGCGAACGCGGCAGCCAATTGCGCACAGCAATGTCCCACAAACAGTCGTAGATTGAAAATGACCAATTTTTTTTTTATTATTGTTTTTTGGTTTTTTTGGAGGGATTATTATTATCTATTATATATTATATTATTATATTATATTATATATTACACGTTCGTGTGCTCTGATATTTCAACGAGTGCCACAAGTCACCAAAGTAACCTCGTGATAAATACAGTACCAAATGAACATGTCGTACCTTGTGGCATAAGTCACTAAGGTCTAAGGTATAAGTCACTCAGGTAAGAACAACAACAACAAGATTCCATTTATAGAGCGCCTTTCAGGTCGAGAGGACGTCCCGAGGCGCCGTACAGTTGGTCGTGCGAAGTACCTTTAGCAAAAGCGCCTGTGGTTTTGATGATGAAACTTGCAAGCTGTACGCGGCAACTCTCGGCCCAAAGTGAAAGTTTGTGTAAATTGGTTTTAAAACAAAAGTTTATTAATAGTAATTCTTACTGTTGTTGCGAATCGTTTACCGCCTTTCAATTTGAGAGGATGTCCCAAAGCACTTCGCAGGTTTTACAGGTAAACGTATCAGTTGGGACTGTACATTTAATATGACTTATGCAAAGTATGGCTATGTGAAAATTACACAAGTTGTTTCGAATATGACTTATGTAAAGTTATGTATAAGTCAGATAAAATTTCATGTGTGCAGGAAATGTAAATTATAATTGGAACTAAAAGTCCTGGCTTCCATTGAAATGGGAAAATTACCGTATAATAATAGTAATCCTTACATTTGATACAGCGTCTTTGATATGTTTCAAAGCACTTCACGGGACACACTATAAAGTGCAGTGACTGTGTTTTGTCGGCGAAACATAGCAGCCAATTGTGCACAGCAGTGTCCCACACACAGTCGTGCATTGAGTGACCACATTATTATTATTATTTTCTTTTGAAGGGATTATTACCTCAAGAAAGTGATCCGCCAAACGACTAACAAGCGGGTTCCTACTGGACAGCGGCAGGGCCTGACTCCAAACTGGGGTGGGGTGACCGTAGGTGTAGTCAGACACATAGTATATTAAAGATAAGCAATTATCAGAGCTATGATAATAAGAAAGCTATAATTTGTTAAACTACATTTTATTTCTATCAAATACAAAAGTAAATTGCAGCATTTTTTTGTATAATCACGTTCATGTCAGCTGAGTTCACAGAGGATCATCATTGGAAATGTTTATAATAATAATAATAATAATCCTTGCATTTGATATAGCGTTTTTCACGTCGGGAGGACGTCCCAAAGCACTTCACAGAACACACTGCAAAGTGAATTGACTGTATATGTGTGGACAAACGCGGCAGCCAATTGCGCACAGCAATGTCCCACAAACACTCGTAGATTGAAAATGACCAATTTATTATTGTTTTGTTTTTTTGGAGGGATTATCATTAGGCGTGTGGAGTAAGAAAACTTGCCCAAGGTTTCGCCCTGCCTGGAATTGAACTCAGGTCTCTCGCTTGCAAAGCGAGTGCTCTAACCACTGAGCTACAGGACTTATTTCATCTATATTTTTTCTAATAAAACTCTAGACATTTTTACCATTAAATATGAATTGAATAAGTTTTATTGTCCAGCAACACATGAATAATCACTCAGACAAGTCCTGTGTTAGTAGTCTTAAGGGAAGAATTGTGAGAATAAATTCAGGACCTGTGTTCAATGCTAGTACAAGAGACTTGGAGCTGAATTGTGTGGTTCTGGCAGAAATCCAAAGTTAAACATAGTTTTCATTGGAGAAAGGGGGAAGAAGGAAATAATCCAAGTATAAAAAAAATTGATGATTTCACATGAAGATAGATATAAGCAGTTTATTTATCCAAATGTTTTTCTCCTCTCATATGGAGTATGACCATGGAGTTTTGTTGTGCTCCTTGTTTCTCTGTCTATAAATAGTATATTTACCCCAGAAAGGTTTTCATGCCTTGCAGTAGTCTAGAAAAGGTATTTCGACTGAGGTAAATTGTTGTGATGTAACCAAATATGTTGTGTAGGCTGATTAATATACTTTCCAGAAGATTTGGATCCGAATAGAGTATATTTTGGCAGTACTGTTTGATTCCACCTGGCTGCTATGCATCAGTGCAGAGTAGAGAAAAAGAATCAAACTGTTCATGCCAGGATCCTGGAGAAGACTTGAGCTCATTATTCAAAATGTTATTGTTTGAAAGAAACATTTTAATTATTTTTCTAAACTTATAGAGAGTACTTAGTTCCAATCAATTGACTGTCGTATCTGTATTTCTAGTGGTCGGCTGCAGAAATGCAGGTTTCCATTGCTGAACCTCTGCTCCCAGCATCCGTTGATGTCATTGGCAGTTTGGAACCGTTGTGAGCAATAGAAGTCTCAATAACAGAGTGTTGAATTCCCACAGCGAAACTCTGAAATGCAAAGCTGACGGATGGACTGGACTCCTTTTTTTTAATATAAATTCTAAATGTAAAATGTCAGAGCCGTCTTTGTTAAGATGAGGTCATATCTTTTTTTAAAAAAAGTTAGAAATGGACAACAGGTAAATCAACATCTCGAGAAAGATCAAGAGAAAGATAGTTTTGGCTCCGACACTTTCCTTTTAGAATTTTTTGGCTTTGATGCTTCATCAATATTAGACCATTTGGGCTGTAGAAATACCTACATAGAGCAGATGAGTGATCATAAGACTGAAACCAATATCTGGTAAAAATAAACTTGAAGTTATGTGGACAAGGAAGAAGCTAATAGATCATTAATACGTTCTAAATTGGGATGCTAATGGTTGAGCATTAATAAAACAAAGACACAAGTACAATTGAGTGAGACAGTATAAGGAAATTATATCCCCATTTTTTTAAAAAATGAATTGGGTGGGACAATAAGACAGCTATGGTTGAAGATATTATTATAATAATCCTACAGGTTGTGGGTTTGTTCAGATCTACTGCCTGAGGAATGAAAAATAAAATATCTGGCTACTGAATAAGTCTAGAAGTTCAGCAAAGTCATAGGGGAAATGGTCACATGGGAGGTTGAGATCAGTGTACTTACAAACAGCTGAGACTTTGAATAGACCTCACCAGATAGAAAAGGCCCCTTCATAAGCAGTTAAACTGTTTTAAGAGATTTTAAATCATAAATGATAAATCTTGCATAGAAAGAATGCTTCGTGATAAAGACCGTATTGGAGAAGAAAGGGCAAAAGAAAAGAATAAAAAGTTCCTGGGAAGAGCATCAATGCTTACATTATAACAAAAGAATATATCTAATATGTGGATATTTTTGAAATAATATATTATTATTTTATTATATTTTTGAAATATTTAATATAGAAAGCTTATTTTGTTTTAACTGTTTACAATGCTCATACATTAATATTGAGTGTTACTGTGATGGATGTGAACTGAAATTTGTTTTCTGAACCAATTTTAAAAATGAACTGAATGTTACCATTTGTCATAATATTGTAAAAGTATGCTACAATCTACAGTAATTCTATTTTTTTCCAGGACCAAATAAGGACAGCATCCGGGCAGGATGCAAGAAGTGTGGATATCGTAAGTAGTGTACATAACAAATGTATCTATATCATTAATTACAGTTTAAAATATTGTAGCAGCTCAATAGAACCATACTAACTGAGTTATGCATTTTCCAACCAAGTAAAGTTTCACAAATTGCACCGTCACGATTTTTAGTACATTTCAGTGTTTTGTGGGGTATTTCTGATCCTTGATATTGTTTTGTTCCCTATTTTCTGAAGGTAATGTTTTAATGACTATTGTATCCACATACAAGATTTGTCCTTAAACAAATTACTTATCTCTGTATGTACTGTAGAGCAAGTATATACGGAGATGTGCAAAATTAATGAATTTAAATATAGTTTCTGGTAGAAATGTGCACCTGAACATTCAACATTCAGTTCGGAGCAATAATTAACTTATTCCAATTCAGTCCCTAAGTGATTTAGTTTTCGGAAAATGTTATATACATATTTACAACCTAGCACTTCAAGCAATGCTTTTTGTAACCTGTTTGCAAAGTTTCTGAAACATCTGTATTTGGAATCTTTGGGGAGCTAGCCACCTTATTTGTTTGTATTTTAAAATGTTTTATGGAATCCCACAATGCTAAGTAAAACATAGCTGTGTTGTGATAAACTTTCTGGAGTATAAATTTGATTACTGTTTTTTTTATTGTTCTTCAAACTAATTTTTCTCCCAGACACAAAATATTGCAGATGCTGGAAATCTGAAAACAAAAACAGAAGTCACTGGGAACACTCAGCAGGTCAGGCAGCATCTATGGAGAAAGGGAAGTGAGTCAATGTTTCGGGTCCACGACCCTTCGTCAGGACGGTCGAAGGGTTCTGACGAAGGGTCGTGGACCCGAAACATTGACTCACTTTCCTTTCTCCATAGAAGCTGCCTGATCTGCTGAGTGTTCCCAGTGACTTCTGTGATTTTTCTTCCTATTGAGCCAGTCTGACACAGTAATGCAAAGTGGAGTGATGTGTATTTTTGTGTGTGCAAATTTGCACACAGCAGTGTCACAAAAACAGATAGGAAATGAATGACTTTTTTTCTGGGTAATTGTTGGCAGGAACACTGGGAGAAGCTGCCTTCTCTTTTTGAATAATATCATGGGATCTCAAGTGTAAGATAAATTAGTGATTTACCTTTTTGCTGTTTTGGAGATATTGTTGTGTACAAATTAACTGCCTGCCACAAATATAAAGTTGTTTCATTATCAGTAATTACTGTGAAGTGCTTATACACATTTGACATAAGTATTGTTAAATATGTTGGAGTTATTTTGTTGGTCTAATCAGTTTTTCTATTCTTTCTTGAATAATAAACTTTTAATAACATTTCAGCTGGCCATTTGACCTTTGAATGTCGAAATTTTGTTCGAGTGGACCCTCAAAAAGACATTGTATTAGATGTCAGTAGTACCAGCAGTGAGGAGACTGAGGAGGAAGAGGAAATTGAGCAGCTGCGGGCCATGATTGACAAAAAAGGTAAACTGTTTTACTTATTCATGGATTCCTATTTTCCTTTGCTATTAAAATGTTTATAAATGAAAACTTAAATATTAAACTTAGTCTGTAAATTCCTACATTTGTAAAGAATTTCAACATGAGTACATATACATAACTGCAATAATTTGCATTTATATAGTTTCTTTCACATAGGAGAATATATCAATGGCTCAGTGGGAGCATGAGCTAGGGAAAATGTGGCAGAATGCTCAGTTGGAGAGGTTTTTAGGCATCTTAAAAGGATTCAACAACAACAACTTTCATTTATATAGCACCCTTCGCATGGAGCACATAACTGTGGTTGAGCCTGATGCCGAGGGGAGGTGACTGTATGCACAGTCAAAGAAGGTCTTCAGTCGTGATCTAAAAGAAGGGAAGGAGGGGGTAAGGGGGAGGTTTTGAGGAAGAGAGTTCCAACACTTTGGGGGACACTGGCTGCAAAACGGCTGCAAGAACGGCTGCCGATGGTGAAGGAGACGAGGCCAGAGTCAGCTGATCGGACGCAGTGGGTAGTGGAGTGGAAAAAGCAAGTCGCAGAGGTACAGAGGTGCCAAGGTTTGAACCTCTTTGAAGAGATTTTTGGGATAGAAGAGGGGGGAAGTGAGATGGCGTGATTGCTGCAGAAACTTCCAGATAACAGGGGCAAAATGGCTGAAATTTTGCCTGCTGATGGTGAACAAGCATGTAGCAAGCCAGAGTGGAGGTGTAAGCATGGGAATGGACCTGCAGAAGGTTGCAGAGTGTGGTTAGTTTGTGGAGGCATTTGAAGGTAAAGAATCATAATGTTGATCCGCTAGGGAATTGAAAGCCTGTAAACCCCAGAGAGAATATGGGTAATAAACTTGTGAAGGAATCTCAACACGAGTACATATACATATATAGAAGAGGATGTGGGCTGGGAATTCTGCGTGATCTGAAGCTTATGGACGGTGGAGATGGGGTGATTAGCAAAATGGGGTTGGCAAGAAATCCAGTCTGGCAGTGACAAAGGCATGGATGAAGGTTTCAGCTTCTTTGGAGTGAAGTCGCAGAGGTAGGCGATGCTGTTGCGATGGAGGGAAGTGGACTTTATTCAGATGAAAGGCTTAAGTAGAGGAGGATTAAATAAAATGAGATTCTGTACAGTACTTTGAGCTGGACTAAGCAACTGGTTGATATAGGTGGTGGCTGAAATGTGGATAATGCATACAAATTTGCCACCCTATGATTTCTCAAAATCAGCTATGGCATCTGGGAAGACTTAATTTGTGTCTAGGAAGAGATGCAAGATACAAATACAAGTGCACCATTAAAGTGCACATAGCAGTTATTGCTGTCTATTGTATATTGTTATGTATTTGCTGACCTTAATTCCAGGGACATGAAATCTAATGAAAAGATTCTCCAAACCTTCCTTAGGAACTTTAAATTTGAAATTTTGTTGATCGTCTTGTTGGCAAAGGGATCACCTGGTGTAGCACTGACCCACACAGACAAATGGTCAAAGCTTCTCTTCTTGGTCGTTGCTGAGTTAGACTATATTAGTTGGCAAGGATGCACAGTAACAATAATTTTCATTTATATAGCTCCTTTTACCTAGGGTGAATGTCATGTAGTGTGTCAGATACAATAAGAGGCAGAGAAGAGAGGAAGGGTTTAAGGGTCTTGGACAGGTAAATTAAAGTTGGGCTTTGAAGAGATTTTGGGATAGGGCAGAGTAGTGGGATTGGAAGTACTCAAAGCCAGTGCAGAATCAGTGGGCCAAAGGGTCTCCTTCTGCCCTGTAAATGTTTATGACTCTAAGAAGAGTTTTGCTTAAAGACACGATCAAGGAGAGGTTTTGAAGGAGGAGAGAAGGAAGAGCAAGGCAAAGGGATTTAGAGAATTGGAATTCTGTCAGTGAGGGAGTCTGGGTCTGGGAATTTTATACTTAATATCTTTAAAACTCTTGTTTTAAAGATCAGTTGGCGAGGATGAATTATGAATGACTTATTCATAATGATTTCACGTCCTTGGAATTAAGGTCAGCGAATACATAACAATGTACAAGGATGACTTATAAATTTTAAATTATTTTGGGAAAATACTATATCAAGATCAGAAATTCCAGCATTTGCCTAAGTTGCAAGGGTACCTTTTGGCCACTTTTATGAACTATTCGTTAAGTACTAAACTAGGGCTAAATCCATGATCTTAAAATAGTGCTAGCTGAAGCTGTCTACTTTAATCTAATTTCCTAATCTTTTCCCACGTCCTTTGATATGTTTTCTCTAATTTATGTATTGAAATCTCTTGTAAATGTTGCATTCTCAGCCGCAATAACCAATCATATTTTGATTGATAAAACTGCGTGTGGAACAAAAACTTTATTCTAATCTTCCCCTTGATGCTTCCAGTAACAATTCTGTTATATCCCTCTTCAGTGATTTTTGCAAGCAGTGCAAATAATATTTCATGATTTATCCCAGAATGGCCAATTTGCAGCCTGCAGACAACATTACACAAGCGTAATATAGTCACACGGGCCGCAAGTTGGCCATCCCTGATCTATCCTACTAAGAATCTATTATTCTATCCGTCATAATCGTCTGAACCACTAAAGGTGAGTAAATGTATTGAGAAGTGGAGAACAATGTGCACTCACCAGCCAGGTTTGCTAAATTTAAAAATAAAAATAACCCCATAACTCCTTGGAGTTATGTCAACCTGATGTAGATAAATCTTAACCAAATATCAATTTTATTTATTAGCCCTTTATTTGACTTGGACTGTTATAGTGTAGTTGCTTTTATATAAGCTTAATAATATTCTTAGCATTTTTGTTCATTTACTCTCACGTTGGGGGTACTGCTTTAACTGCTGTATTTGTTTTAAAAGACGATGTGCAATTTTGTTTTTTGCTTCCAGAAATAAAACCTGAAAAGAGCGAGCTTCCTAAAAAGAAAATCAAAAAGTCTGGAACTAAAAAACACAGAAAAAGGTAAAACTTGTGGCCTCAAGTGAAAATGAAATGTAATGTAAGCCATAGATAGTTTCAAACAAATATCCTTAATAGAGTAAAGTCCTGATAACTTGATCGTGGCTTAACATGTCACTGGCACCTAAATCATCATGCAGTCAATATCCTAGCTGCATTTATTTATGTACTGTATATTAAAGACTTTGTCTTGTATATAGGGGGTAGAGTATCAAAGTTTGCAGATGATAACAAGTTAGGAGGTATAGTGAATAGTGAGGAACGCTTAAATAGATTCAGCACAATGGTTGGATGAAGTTTAATGAAGCGAAATGTGAGGTGATTCATTTTGGTGGGGGAAAAAAACTGAATAGTGTATATATTGAATGAAGTCTTGCAAGGAGCACAAGAGTACGTTTCTATGATTCTACTAAATTGAATTACAAAGTCCAAGATCCTGTCTGAATGGGGGTTTGAGCTCAGGATTGTCTTCTTCTAGAGCTTAGGCAACCCCTTTAAGTCACCGTGTCCCGAACTGTATCGAATACTTCAGCTGTTGCAAAATCAGAGCATTGTCCAGCAGCAATTAAGAGTAGACATTAGTTAAAAGAACAAGAGTACCGTCCTCTCCACAATTCTAAGATTATACACTAGCTTTTAGTGCCAAAACTACATTTGGCTGATGTGTAATAGGAGTTTTTCTTACACTTGACAATTGAAGATCAGAGTTACCGTCAAGGGTATCAAGAATAAAGATAAATATGCATATCACAGCAGTAGCATTAAACAGCACCACATGTGGTGATAGTGTATTGGTTGTAGTTGTTACAAGATAGTGTTAGAATATCTGTGTTCTGTTGTGATTAAAATGGTGTCACAGTGTTACTTTATGTGATGAATTCTATCTTTGCTCAGTTTATTCCATCTAACAGCTGTTACTACATTTCATGCTAAAGTGATTTTATGCATCACATTAGTATTCTAAACTAGAGATGTATGTAAATTTGTATCCTTCCAATGTTGTACTGTTTCTTGGAATGTGGAGGTGTAATGGTACTGTCTTGCATATTCATACTGCTGTGGGAATGTGGTTTATTTCCAAAAGCTAAATAAATCTTGGGCAATATATCATAATTGAAACAAAAAGCACAGATATTGCTGTGGAGAGCTGCTTATAATAATAATAATCCTTGCATTTGATATAGCGCTTTTCACGTCGGGAGGACGTCCCAAAGCGCTTCACAGAACACACTGTAAAGTGAATTGACTGTATATTTGTGGGCGAACGCGGCAGCTAATTGCACACAGCAATGTCCCACAAACAGTCGTAGATTGAAAATGACCAATTTATTATTGTTTTTGTTTTTTTGGAGGGATTATTATTAGACGTGTGGAGTAAGGAAACTTGCCCAAGGTTTCGCCCTGCCTGGAATTGAACTCGGGTCTCTTACTTGCAAATCGAGTGCTCTAACCACTGAGCTATAGGACTCCATATGCTTGTGCCATGAAGGACATTAATCTTGTATTACTAGTCCTTAAGAGTAATTTCAACTTATGAACCTTTTCAGTATGTCCTGTCGATTGAACATTAATTGTATATTTCTTTGTCAGAGACCTAGCAAATTCGATGTTCACACACTTTACAGTATACTCTGAAGCGCTTTGAGACTCCTTGAAGATGTGATAAGGTGCTATATCAAATGCAAGGATGAGTATTATTCTCAGAGGACATTTGTAGGGGTATATAAATTCCCAGTGGAATAGAGATATTAGTCCCAAAGCAGTTCTTCCAGAGTCAATAGGGCTCAGATTTTTCAAGTTTTTGATGGACAATTTTAAGACAGATCTTAGAAAGTATACTGAAAAGATAAGTTCAAATTTTTCATGTATTTATGATATACTTCAAATGGTGCGGTGTCCTTGGAATGTAATTAGATACGGATTTTCCTTTCAGATCTTATTCAACCAGTGAGGAAGAAAGTGAGAAAAAGAGTAAGAAACAAAAAGTTATTAAAAAGAAAAAGAAAACTGAGAAGAAAAGCAAACACCAAAAGAGCAAGCATCACCACAAAGTTAAGAAAACAAAAACAAAAAATGACTCCTCTTCATCATCAGAAAGTCCTAGCCCCACTTCAGACAGTGATTAATTCTATGCTATGTTACAATCTTGAATTTGTGCCACAAGACAATTTTTAGAAAGAGCTGTTCTGTATATAAAGTCGATTGCTCATGCATTCAATGGATGTTCTCTTTTCAATATAAAAAGAGTGAATGTGTAAACACTGTATTTGACTATGTGACAGAATGTATGTTTAAGCAAATTATGATATTTTGTTTGAAACTAAAGCAATTTTCAGACCAGATTGTTACTCAGAAAATGTTTTGACCCTTTGTAATGGCACTAATACAACAACTGATAGAAGTGCTTTCTGGTGCTTTCTGGTAGCAGATATTTAGTGGTTTTGATGACATTTATTTCATAAATCACTTTTTGATCAATTATGTTATCAAGTTGTGGAAACAATGAACTTGTAGCCACACATTTAAAAAATACTCTATTTAAACTGGAGAATTTTTAGCATTCTTTTATGCTCCTTTTTGTACTACCAAAGCAGTAAAGGATTGCCTAGATTTTATACACGCAGACCTCTTCTGACCAGCACTGAATCTTGGTTAATCCTTTAAGGTTATTAAAGAGCTGCACCTTCAACTCTAATAACAGTAACCTTAGAGCACTTCAGTGGCCCACCATGATCTTGTAAACTTCATTTTTAGTTTGCTTGGAATCACCCACAATAAAACACGATTTTATACACAGGCAATGACATTGATTCAATTCTGAAGGTGCTTGCAGGAACAAAACTCGAGAGTCAAATGGATTCCCTTAAATACAATTAGATTGCAATTTTAACATCAATTCAACATGGAATTCAAGTGCTACAATTATAGCACTGAGCTAAGGGGAATTATAGTGCAATCTTCTGTAAAGCAAGTTATAGAACTGCTGTTTCATTTATCTTTGCAAGTAGAAATATAGTTAATGGATGAGTAGATCACGATTGTTTTCTTTCAAAGCTGCTATGATAAAAATGTTGTGGCCTGATTTGTATACATATTTTAACTGGACCATTCATAAATCTCAGGTACTGATCTAAGAATAATGTGTAAAACATCACATCCCGTTAGTAACATAAACTACTTGTCAAGTCTATCTAATTTATTCTGAGAATGTCCCATCGTTCAGCAGTTCAGTTTTAGGCCATATATTGTAGATAACATTTATTCAGTTGCATTATTGTGTCAGCCTAGAACTGTTCAGTCAATTTTAGAACACAAAAGAAGGATTTTGTTTTCAAATGAAAAATACAATGGAAGCTTGCTAGCAATAGATCAGCCCTTAATAGTGAGGTGCCATCATTCGTGAGGTTTTCATTATCAGTTGAAAATGGGTGGGAAAATAAGACAAGCGATGTTCTACAGAGGGAATTGACCTCATTCCTGAAGTCACCACAAGGAGTACTTCTACTTATGGGCACCATGGCTCAGTTTGTAGCTCCCTCTTCTCAATCGGAGATGTCCACTTTGGGACTTGAGCCATGGTCTGAGTTGACAATCCAGTGCATATGGGGGAGCACTGCATTGCCTGAGGTGCCATTCTTCAGATTAGTAACAGGCCCATCTGTCTTGGTGGAAGTTAAAGATGCCAAGACATGAATCGGAAAGAGAAGGCAGTTTCTCCTGTGACCTGGCCAACAATCCTCCAGATAAGCTGGTTATTCACCTCATGTTTGTTTGTGGGAGATAAAAATCTCTCCTAGACAGTAATTACTCAAAAGCAGAGTTGTCCAATATGTTAGTCAACAGCCACTTGTGGCAAATTGAGAATCCAGACATAGCAAAATTGCATTTTTGATTAGTAAATAAAAAATCAGTAATAGACACCATCATTGGGTATGTGATCTCAATATTCAAATTCACACAGTGTATACATGTGTACTTTGAAATTTTGTGCATCTGTTGGTAAAATGGAAAGACATAAAGCAGCATGTGTGAGTTTTGGGATTGTTGTGTGTGCTTCCTTGATTACTGCTTATTGGTTTTCTGCTAAAAATGATTGCAACATCAGCAATATTGTGTGGAGAGGGGAGATGTCAATCATGGTGAACATGAATAACTGCTCCAGGTCAGCAAAAGAAAGCCCAGCCCAGCTAATAACAAGCAGCAGGGCACATCATGGTAAAGGGCAAACAGCATCCAACCACATGCTGGATGGAGAGCAGGGAGGGAAAAAGAGACTTGCAAAGTTTTGCATTGAATGGTGATAGATGTTTATTAAGTAGAAGATGTTTGTTAAACAACTATACATGTGAAGTATGTTTACCTGTACTGTGTATTTCAAGGCATTTTCTACTAAAGTTAGTACATGTGGCTAAAATGGTGTCGCCACATATGTAGCTTGTCAGCAATTTTTATTGGACAGCGCTGCTCTAAAGCATTTTCAGAAGTGTGTGTTAAAATCGTATTTGAAGGAACACTGGTCTGTTCAGACTAGTGAAACTCATTTGGTAGAGAAAAATTGATCCTCTATTGTTTGTATTTTCAGAAAATGCACATATTCTATTTGTTTTCCTAATTAAACCGTGGTTTAATCACATATGTTGATTGTTATGGTGTCTTAACATTGGAGCTGTAGTGAACATGAAATGTTATATTTGTTATTTTGCATCTGTAATATCTTGGGGCTGAAAATCATCTTGTCACTAAGAAAATCAAATACTGTGTAAAGGTGTAACATCAAAGTCACTATATTTAACAAGAGGAATTTCTTGCCCCTAGTATTCAAGAGAAAAGTGTCAGAACTTCTGTGGCCACTGAAATGTTCATTCCTTACCAACAGCTGCATTTTTTGATGTCTTTCATACTTGAGTCTTTGTGTATGTAATTTCTGTTTGGTTTGTGATACTGATAAAAAAAAATGTAATCTATACCATTGAGATACCCAATACATATTTGTCCTTTTCAAGGAGGAATCTAGACTTGACAAGTCATTCCTTTCATTATTTGCTATTCTATTCAGCAGCTGTGAAAAGCTGTTTTTTCAGCTTTTACTATAGACAGATTGCTTTTTTTTAACAATTTTGAGGTTTGTACTAGATTTCTCTGCTAAAAATTATTGGTAAATGACATTTGTGACAACTCTAGAAATGCTTAGAGATGTTTTGATGTGATAAGGCACTAAATCAAATGAAAAGATTATTTTATCATGAAGCAATTGTTACCAAATTAAAATTGATTTAAGAACAAGTTTTTAATAAAACATTTTTTTCTGAACTTTTATCTCATATTCCTAAAGCTTAAATCACTCAAGGATTCACTCCCATTTGAATCTTATGATCCTATTCATATCCACTCTGTGTTCAAATGCTTTTAAACCACTGGACCTTTGTGAATTTGATAATAGATATTCCAGGAAAACAGTAAATTTCAAATTAACTATATCTTATTATATGCCTTTGAGTATAAAATGTCCTATGTGACTTTTTAAATAGATCTAACCCATTGTAAGAACATCAAAAACAAAATCTATCTTTCGATTCCTACTAAATAGAAGAAATTATAGTGTTTCTCTAAATTCTTTTTGTTAAACGGAAAGGTTTATTTCCGTGAAGCAAAAATATGATAGTGTAATTTTAAAATTATTAAATTAAAATGTAATTCAATAAAAATTATCCTTAACATTTTAATCATCTTGAAGCTGTGTGTACTGGTTGGAGGAGTTCGGGATGGGTTCCTAAATCCCCATCCACTCCTCTTTCCCAGGGTTTGTTGAAGTCTTTATGGGTCAGTTTGGTGTGGAGGTGCTCTTTGAAGAGTTCATCTTTCTCAGTCTGTTTCAGCATTACCCAGCCTCATGCAGTGCTGGTGTGTTTTTTCCTGTGCTTGTATGGTTGCACTGCGGACCAGAAACACTTGAGATATCTCTCTTGCTCGATCTTGCAGAAGAGATCCCATTGTTGTTATTGTTTTTCATCCTCCGCTTTCAGTAGCTGGCATATTTGGATCTGAAGTCAATAGTCTGTTTCCTTGAGGCCAGATTTGATGTATTCCTGCCACAGCTTGTTCTTTAACTTTATTAGTTTGACAATGTGCTGGGGAATTTCAGGTACTCTCCCACTATTTTCCTTTCTCAATGGTTGTGCTGCTTCCAGTATTGCCTTTGTGATGTGCCTGCTTACTGCTTCCAAGTCACCTGAAGTGTGGCAACTGCACAGATTCACCACCGCCTTTATCAGGGCTCAGGCCACTTCTACATAAACCAAATCCTACAAGTAACACCTCACTTTCAGAGTGGGTGGGGGAAGCTAGAAAGAAACGACCATGCAGGACACAGTATTTCTGGAGATGCAAAACCTTAGTTTCTCCCAGTATCCTGGCCAACAATCTCCCAAATAAAATTGGTCATTCATTTCACAGCTGTTTGTGAGACATTGCTGTGCCCAATTGGGCTGCTGTGTTCACCTACAAATACAGTCCATTCATAGTAAATCCTGTAAAGCTCTTTGAAACATCCTCCAAGCCTGAAAGGTGCTTTGCCAAATGCGAGGATTATTATCGTTATTATTATTTTAGTCTAACTATATGCTTGATTTATCAAAAGACATATTATTTCAAGAATTACTATTAGTATTATTAGGAGAAACAAATTGTACTTTTTTACATTGGTCATTAAACCACTTTCTACTTTATCTTTTACTGCAATACAGTATTCCTCCTTTGTCAGTGAAATAACTTGTTTTCAGGATTGTACTTTAGCACCATTATCGAGAGGAAACTACACTGCAGATGACAGCATAATGCAAAGGATATCATAGTGCAGAGGTTTGACATTTTAACAGCAAATAATGATGTATCCCAACCCAGCAATAAGTTGTCATGTTTTTCCGGTTATGAATCAAGATTTTGTTTTTTTTGAATGTTCAGTGTTCAAAATTACTTACAAACCATTACTGATGTAGAGTAAGATGGTGAGCGTAATTTGGGGAGTTAAGCAGGAACAATGCATTAATTGTTTTATCTTTAGCCTGTTTTGGGGGATTACTAACAGATATTAACACTCAAAAAGAGGAATATTACACTGTTAACATTTTGGCACAAAAGAGTTATGGCACTCCTGTCACCACCCCTTTACTCCAGTACCATTAATTAAATAGAATCTTATATCTAAAATAATAGTAGTAAGAAAAATCCTTGTATTTGATACAGTGCCTATCATGTCAGGAGGATA